TCATGCCCTAGCCTATCTACCGTAAAAATATGAGCGAAATCGAATTTTCGACCCTTGCCGAGTTATTTCCCATATTTATGGACAGGGACTCTTAAAGATGCTCAGCCACGGTATTTTGAGTTATTTTGGATTCGTACAAAATAGCATTTAAACTGAAGAGAACCTGAAACAGTAGTTTACTAAGATAGATAAACATCAAAGAGATAATAATAAACCATAAAGGACCAAGAAGAATATTAACGGAGATAACTAACGTCGAACGTGAAGGCTACGCTTTTCAAGATGCGCGAACCGTGACGTAGTTCGTTTAACTCTCAGCTGAGAAATGAAACACTTTTAGGTGGTAGCTGAGTTCTGAGATCTGCAAAATTTACTGAGAGCTGAGAAATGGGTTGGAATTTTAACCGACAGTAGAAAAATATAATCGCTGAAAATTTACCTGATTAATGAGGTTTCGGAATCAAAATCCAGACCCTCGTGGTAACAAATCTTCCCTTAGGTTCCTTTGTCAAAGGATGCAATATAAGTTGTCCACTACTTCGACGTCTTTATTTTGCACTATTTACTAATTTTACATTACTATTATAAATATAGAAAGCGAAATATTTGTTACACATGGTTATGGAAAAGACTAAAAAGATATGTGAGTGGTAACTAGAGTAACTACTGGCTTTTGTGGTGTTTACCACCATGTTAAACTAAATGCGGTACTGCTTTCTGTGATAAAATGTACTGTAATGCTCTGGGCTTGGTGAATAACAAAACGAAACTGCTGTAAGTTAACTTAATGTTGGTTTAGTGCACATTTAAAGCGTGGTTTGACTGGCGAAATAAACTCGAGTATGCTTCTGCGGCAGTGTGCGTTAAGCAGAAGACAACCGTAAACATAACAGAAATAAAACATTGCTATATTTCATTTTTATTTTTTTTTAGATGACGAACCCCCCAAACTCACTTGCCCCAAGGACATACACGTAAAGAAAACCAGCGCTGGAGACACTGTCAAAGTTGACTGGCCTCTGCCAATCTACGAGGATAACTCTGGAGAAACTGTCGCTTTGTTTACAGAATCTGTCAAAGGCTCGGGCTTCAGAGTGGGTCGATATCAAATTAAATACGAGGCCGCAGACCGATCGGGAAATAAAGCTGTTTGTACTTTTGCCATTGTTGTTTCAGGTTCGTTACGACACCTATTTCTCTCACGATTTCATAGAATGATTTATATGGAAGACTCTTGCACCAATTTAAACAGTGAGGACGTGGACCCATCGATTATTTATAATTATATTGCTAGCTCCGCGATGCCGGCAAGATGAACCGAATCCGGCGCTGTGATTGGTTACCCGAGTGAGCAAAATGGCGCCCGCTCGGGATTACCCACTGTGTCCCGCAAGGAAATAATGTTCATTTTCCATATAATAAACCCTTTAGTGACCAAGCTTGTTAGGTCAAGATGGCAGGACTGAATGGTTTGATCGTTCTTTTTTGTGGACCTGGTCCATAAACACGCAAAAAAAGAACTTGGCCAATATCCAGCCATCTTGACTTCAAAACCCATGCCTATTGGAGCTCACAAAGCGTACATTAAAAGTTGTTATTTTCTTGACTTTTTTTTTAGTTCCCCCCAAAATAGTTTTCTTAAATTTCAGGTCCGATATGTGCATCGTATCAACCGCCACTGAACGGACTAATGTCCTGCGCACATTCGGACATGTTAGGCGGGACTGCGTGCACTCCTCAGTGTAATCTGAACAAGGACTTCAGCAGAATTCCCGCCAATATGTACATTTGTCAATCAACTGGTGAATGGTACGTTTGGGACCACCGCCCAAGTGTGTCACAGGAATTGCCTTGGCCGAACTGTACGGGTGGGTATCCCTGTCGTTATAAAAACGCGATAAAAGTGTTTTAAAGCTAATGCCGTGTTCATCTTAAATCATCACAAACCCTCATACTAATGGTCTTTTATTTTATTTTTTTGAGTTTTTCTTAGTTCAGTTCTAACAATACCAGCAAATGCTTTTCTTCACAAACTTTTCGTCGTAGATTGTCCACAATTGCAACAGCGGAATCACTCATTCGAGAATTCCAACTCGTATTCCATTAGTTTCTTCCTTCTTTCTTTCAGATGTTGTCAAACCAGGTTCTCTCCGAAAGAGCGAAAGTTGGCAGAGCATTGCTGGCGACTGTTTGGATCCTTCTTTCCGAACACAGGCAAAACAAAACCTTGTGCAAGGTTTCAGAAGCGTTTTTGGGTGGGACATGGGTTTACTTGCGTCCAATGTGAAGATTTCTTGCGGAAAGAACAGCAAAAAAATGGAAAAGCATTTTGTCAGGAAGGTAATTTTGATATGAGTTGACCGTTTTTAATTTTGCTAAAACGTGAGCTATTTCATCGCCCTCCGTTCTCCGAGTCACTCTAGCTATTTCCAATAGCTATTTTTCGACATTTTAATTCAAAACTACTTTATAAGTGTGAGTCATGCAAAGTAAAAGTATTGTTGGTGATGAAAGTAATCTGTACTGAAAGTAATGTAGCTACATATATGTTTTACAAATAAGAAAATAAGAAAATTACTCAAGAAAATAAGTAAAATTTTCCCTAAGCGGTCCTTCTCTGTACTTCAACTCGTGAAATCCTACCCTTTTATATACCTTACACCGGAAACCGTGCCCCCTTTATGTGGAGTCTTGCCTTATAGTCCACTACATGCCCAAGGGGAAAATTGGTCTTTTTTCAAAATCCGTCTATGTGTATTTCTAAAATCAAACTTTGATTTTTTTTCCTTTTTTTTTTTCCATTGCCAGATATATTAGCTAGACCGTGGGACTACTCGCTAGTATTCCCACCACCATCTTCGCTGACTAACATCTTGACTTGTAACCAATTTCTAGATCTTGAAAACAACAGCACAACATTCTGCAGGGAGTGTAACCGGACAGGACTGACATCGAGAGAAAGTAACCTTTGAGAGGCGTAAACTTTCTAGCCACGCCCAGTTTACTGTGAACGGATCAAGTGCTATACTGAGTTGCTTTGAACTGAGGAAAAAAATCAGTACTATATAAATTTAATTGCTTTGTTTAGTTACTTTAATTGTTTATTTCGGCATAATTATATCATGTGTGGAAACCAGAACCACAATTTATGTCTACAGGGTGGTGTTTAAATAAAGATTGGAATTCAACATACGGTCTAAGTTTCAATCACTACCGTGTTGATGGTCAATCTATGCATATGCCACACAATTTTCTTATTTTGATCAAGCCTCGGAGATCAAAATAATGAACAGACTTGTCAGATAGGCCCCTCTTCGGTGATGACCCGCCTCATACGAGAGCATTCGGTCAAGTTATCTCAGGAGCTTAGCTAAGAACCCACAACGCTTTTTATCACAGAGGTTCAGCGAAATACTAAGCTACCTGCTTTTCTTAATTTGGGTCATGAGAGTAAGTAAGAAGTAAATAAAATTGTTTTGGCATTTCATCAGATTTACTCAGCTAGCACATTATATCGTCCCAACTAAAAAATTATGAGAAAGTAAAGCAAACAACAATTTTTATATCATTAACAACATCAGATCAACAGACATTCTATAAAGTAAATCCATATTCTCGGTTTCAATTCCTTTTCTGTTCACTAGCTGGAATTATTTTCACAGTAGACCTGAATTCAACTCCTCCCCTACCTTTTTCAATAAGTTGGGGCTTGGTTTTAACCTCGTAATGTTTAATTTAAATCATCTCTTTCTGTCGCTTTATTACTTGGCCCCTTTAGCCGTTGTGCCACAAATGCCGAGACTGAGGGTAAGTAAAGTTATTTTTATTTATTTTTTGATTTACTTTGGTGCTCGTTGTTAAAAAAAGCATCCTTAAAACGTTCTGTTCACAGTGAGTAAGCTGACAAACGGCCCAATCCCCGATCAGCCCCAGTTCCGAGCCTGTGTCATGCACTGGGACTCAACAAGCCGGGTGCCCATCTACGAAGCAATGGTTGTTAAACAATATAATTAAGATTTGGCAAGTATTCCATCAAATTTTCTAGGCCAGCACATAATATGGTTCCCGCTTGGAAAGTGCCTTCTCGTCCCCCAGGTTTTCGATCGCGCGGCCATTTTTTTTCCTCGAGGTTTCTTTCGCGTCCGAGTCACTCGCGACGAACTAAGCGAAAGAGGGTCTATTCATGGTCTAGCCATGCTGTATCAATTTTAACAGTTAACTGTAAATCACAATGAGGAATAGCATTTTCATAACGAGAGAAATTTATTAGAGATTAGAAAAACCAATGGCTTATGTTAAACGAACGAACACCACAGAAATAACCAAAGCGGCAAACATCCTCACCGACGTATCCAATAATTTGAATGTTCGAAACTACACTTCATGTGAACAAAGTTCAAATAACTCGTGACGACACTGCATCCAAGAGAATGTTCCCCGTCACCGGCGTATCCAAGAATGTGACCGCCAATTTCGAAACACTTCATGTGATCGATGCTCAAATAACTCGTGACAATGAAGAGAAGGTTGCATTTAGAGAATATTCGACACTCCCGCTAAATACATGAGTGTTTTGAATTGCCTGTCCCTCTCGGTTGCCCGCAAAAATCTGGTCATACGAAAACCTGTACAGCGGCTGTGAGCAGAAAATGTCCTTAACCCTTGGGATAGATCCATGCCAAAACGCTACACCTCCAACTTATTTGTCCTTTTTCACGGCCTCATCTTCAATATTAATTAGTATCATTGCGTTTGTTGGAAACTCTCTTGTGGTTGTTGCTGTCATCTGGAATCCTTACAAAGACTTGCGGAAACCGTTTTACTACTTCGTAGCGAATCTTAGCATTGCGGACCTTCTCGTTGGACTCATTTTAGGGCCTTTGTCTACGATATGGCACATCCTCGAGGGACTTGAACAGGGGCAGTCTAGAGACTTTACCTCGCTACTACGTGTAGTGCGCTTCATTTTGTGCACCGCGTCACTTCTCAGCCTAACAGCCCTGGCGCTAGAGCGCTATCTCGTCATCATGCACCCACTGAGTTACCAAACCAGGCTCAACCCTGTCAAGGCCTTCTTGGTTTCCGTTGTCGTGTGGATTGGGTCCATTCTCCTTTCGATGATCTACTTCTTTGTGGAGTACAACATACATCGCTTTATCTTTGCGAACACTACTGTAGCTGTTACCATCGCTACGCTGATCTTTACGAACGCGAAGATTTTGAAGTATTTGCAACACCAGATGCAACAATGGGACGACTTGCACGACAATACTGAAGAGAACTTGATCATGAAACAGTTGATGATGTGGGAGAAGAAAATGACGAAAACACTGGTGATTGTAATATTGTTGTTTGTAGTTTTTTATCTCCCATCGTGTATTTTTGTTTACATCATCAACCTCTGCACAAATTGCGATTGTGTGTATATTCATTGGATAAGGGACATTCAGTGGCTTCTTGTAATGACCACTGCAGCCGTGAATCCATTTGCATACCCCTGGAGATTGGAAAACTTTCGAAGGATTTTTAGGAGGATCGTGAAATGTCGCGCGTGCAGGAGTGACTATTAGGTCCATGCCAGTTTTGAACCACAATCATAAGCAACCGTGAATGCTGAGGGTCTTAAACAACCTTGAAAGATGCTAATTGATATAGAAGACATAAAGTAGACAGTCGAAGAAACGGAAAAGCAGAACTTATGCAAGGTCATGGCTCAAAAGACCCATGGCGGCCGTAAACCGGTGGGGGTTAAAATGGGTAGTACACGGGACGTTTGAATCTATGATGACTGTCCCGTGGGGTATACGTGACAAATCAACATCGCACACCGTTGCTGACTGACTATCACTTTATTTCGGTTGATATATATCAAGCGACCGTTAGACTGGAGTAGCAGAACAAGAATGTGTCCGAGTAAGAATTTTCAATTCCAGTGCTCATGCCTTCGCTTATTTACACGTCATATCAATCCTGTACCGATAGTCTACTGTGATGTTTGAAAAATAAGACGGTATGTGACGACAGAAGGATTAAATCCATTGACCTTTTCAAAGCCCTAGTCAGACGGCGCGTGATAGTCGATAACAGGTCCGGGAGAATTTAACTATCCTCGAATATTATACGTCGTTTGACCCGGCAGGGCTTCAGATGTCTATCCCTCTCAGCCTTCATTTTAAAAATAAATTCAGAAGCGTTCATTTGTAAACAGTCAAACATTTAATGATTTATTACTGATGTAAATCACACGTTTCGTTCATGCTCATATGCCACAATAAATGGCGCGCCCATGGCACGACGAATAGGTCTGGGCCAACAAAAAAGGTTGAAAACATAGTTTTTGACATCAGATAAAATTCACACGATTCGTTCATCCTCATATGCCACAATTAAAGGCACGACGAAAAGGTCTGGGCCAACCAAAAAAGCTTGAAAAATTGGTTTTTGAGAAGCCTTGCATCTTTAAAAAAATTATTTGTTTAAGTCCATTGTTGACTCTTACTTTCATGAAGTTTCATGATCAATTTGGTCTCGTTTGTACAAAGTCATCCATGTTTTCTCAACGTTATCCCATATTGGTCATTACCTGAAAAGAAGGGGGCTTAGGCAGAGCAAAGGGATGGCATTCGGGAATTCTACGCTAACTCAGATCCCTGCTCTTTAAAAGTGTTTATACTGCTAACTTAGTTCAGACGAAAACAGAAGATATATGTAATACAAAAAAAAATTGAGTTTGACACAAGCATCGGATAAAATTTGGTCAATGCGAGCGATCAATTCCAAAAGGTAATATGAAAAATTGGCCCTAGCGTGGGTTCACGTTTTCCAAAATACGTATAACTCGGCCATTTCCTGTTGTTGTTAAGCAGGGAAAACTACAAAATGATTTATGACGCACGTGCTTGTTTGTTGACGTTCTCTTTGCCGTTGCCACCCTTGACCAAGTTGTTAGACGGCTGACTTGATAGTATCTCGTGGCAACGCATTAGCATTAGCTAACCGCACCGCACGAATTTACGACACCAACGGTTGCGGTAGTATTGCTGTCCTCCATTCCTCAGCCTATCGCCAGGCGAAAGGCAGAGAAAATATAGTTTCTCTGTGAAACCTGTTCCTGTTTGGCTTGCGAAATTCAAGCGTTAAGAATTCCTTATAATTTTTTTGACTCACAGAAAGCCAATCGGAAACCAAGTGTCTGCAAACAAAGAGAAGGTGTCAATTCTTTTACTTGGTTTACGAAAGGTCAAAACGATCGCTGAGAAAAGGTGAGTTTCCTTGCTAATTAAAAAGAAAATTGATACCATTAATTTAATCCTGAATTAATCATCGTCGAATAGTCATATTAACGGATTCGCCCAAGACGCCAAAATATATAGATACATATCAGTATCTATTCCAAGACGTTTAAGAGAGCAAAATTCCTAACATTGTACACTACGCAAGAGATATTTCACATTCGGTCGATGGCTGTCAGTAAGTGTTTGTGAAATTAAATCCATTACTGTCGTCAAGGAGTTCGGAAAGCTCAGCACTGTATTGCACGCAGTTTTTATCCTTTCCAAACGATTGCACTCGCCACTGAATTCCCTGAATTCGCTGGACTTGATGAATGGGATTAAAGGACTGTTGATAAGCACTTTCCACAAATGTTATGACGTCAGGATCGAACCGGTTTGTATTTCAGTGGCGTAGCAACCGTTCACGCACGTACGCACGTGTGGACCTCTGAAAAATAAATATAAAAACGCCCCCCAATAATTACGCGTAGAGCATGGTATAATTGCTCATATACCATATATGATGATAAACTAAACGAAACTCTTGAATGGCATTATCCGATGACCCAGTTTTTAATTAAAAACAGATATTTGCCTGCAGACTTAATTATCTGCTCCGAGAAGTGAACGGGTTTCTGAGGGCCTCAGGGAATAGATGTTAATCTTAAACAATGACGCCTGCGACACCAAGAACGCAGCAATTATGGAGGACGCCTCGTCTATCAAAAATTGAATTTATATTTTACGTCTGTACCGCGAATTTCGCAATTATCAAGATCTGTTAAGTACTCTTGTCAACAGGTCGATCTAAAAACCTGCTCAAACTAAAATACAGGTATGTAATGCGAGCGAACAATTCCAAAAGGAAATGTAAACGAAACTAGCCTTTGTCCGGGTTCACGTTCTCCAAAATACGTAGAACTTGGCCACTTCCCGTTGTTGTTTTGCAGAGGATGACATTAAATCAGCAAAATTTATGACGCACTTGCTGAACTCACTTGCTGAACTCTCTTATTGGTTAAAACTCTTTTTACCGACTTTTATAACAAGTGTACTTTCCGATAATGAAGTATGATCTTTTGTATCACGAAGTTTGGTAAGAATAAAACAATTACGTTCTCTTCTCTCCTACTCTTGACAGATGGCTAATTTCGCTGGGTTTGTAAGAACTTTCTACAGACTTAATGACCGCGGATCGAACTGCTCGCATTTTAGTGGCGTAGCAATCACATATTACGTACACACGCTCCACAAAACGCGGAGAGAGGAAATTGAAAACGCAGCTTTATTTCTTCGGTAGCCTGCGTAGCAAGCGTTTCCGTGGGGTTTGGAAGTAAAGAAAGACCGGGGAACGGGATTCTCGGTGTTTCGTCTGCGCAGAAAATGGGGCGAGTAATTCTTTGCTCCCGAACCCCACAGAAACGCTTGCTACGCAGGCTATTTCTTCGGTTACGCCTACACCGTCCACACTAATCCGTCATGAAAAATGTCCATGGAGTTTTTCGAAAACTCTCACCAAGTGGAGGAATTTAAAACGACCGGCGGCCGGCTTTTCGAAAACAATGGCGTCACGATAACTATGCGATTATACTTCCCTACCCGAATTTTCGTCGAACACAAATTCAAATTCTTCCGGCGTAGTGTGAACGGAAAACATTTAATGCGTTTTCAGAGTGAAAACTCCGTTTTCAAATTCATCCGGCGTAGTGTAGATGGGGCCTCAGTTACATTTCGGAGACTCTTGTGACGCGACCTGGATGCGACTTATTAATTAGCCTTGTATGTGTGTTTATGTTAAATAGAAACAGGTTATTAAAGAGAAAATGATCAGGTGACTTATTAAACAGTGTAATAACTAAAAAGATAAATATCGTTCCCCAATTTACAAGGCACATTTACATTTTACACTGTCTAAGTCCCGTTTAGATAATGAGAATTCCATAGATTATGGTTTGCAACCCTTCCCCGTTTAGGGAAGCATGTCCCGTTACGTCATCGACGAAGCAATGTCACGTGTCATTTGCTACCACTTTTGATATGTTATTTTAGCGGGTCAGATACTGCGACATTTCTTTGAAGCTCTCGAGTTGCATTCTTGTTAAGGTTTAAGACGTTCCACTTAAAAACTCTGCTGGGTGTCATTTCAGAGTTACTAGGATGTGTGGCATGACGGGACGCACGGGACTTCTACTGTAAGTGTTTAAATAAAGATTGGAATTCAACATACGGTCTAAGTTTCAATCACTACCGTGTTGATGGTCAATCTATGCATATGCCACACAATTTTCTTATTTTGATCAAGCCTCGGAGATCAAAATAATGAACAGACTTGTCAGATAGGCCCCTCTTCGGTGATGACCCGCCTCATACGAGAGCATTCGGTCAAGTTATCTCAGGAGCTTAGCTAAGAACCCACAACGCTTTTTATCACAGAGGTTCAGCGAAATACTAAGCTACCTGCTTTTCTTAATTTGGGTCATGAGAGTAAGTAAGAAGTAAATAAAATTGTTTTGGCATTTCATCAGATTTACTCAGCTAGCACATTATATCGTCCCAACTAAAAAATTATGAGAAAGTAAAGCAAACAACAATTTTTATATCATTAACAACATCAGATCAACAGACATTCTATAAAGTAAATCCATATTCTCGGTTTCAATTCCTTTTCTGTTCACTAGCTGGAATTATTTTCACAGTAGACCTGAATTCAACTCCTCCCCTACCTTTTTCAATAAGTTGGGGCTTGGTTTTAACCTCGTAATGTTTAATTTAAATCATCTCTTTCTGTCGCTTTATTACTTGGCCCCTTTAGCCGTTGTGCCACAAATGCCGAGACTGAGGGTAAGTAAAGTTATTTTTATTTATTTTTTGATTTACTTTGGTGCTCGTTGTTAAAAAAAGCATCCTTAAAACGTTCTGTTCACAGTGAGTAAGCTGACAAACGGCCCAATCCCCGATCAGCCCCAGTTCCGAGCCTGTGTCATGCACTGGGACTCAACAAGCCGGGTGCCCATCTACGAAGCAATGGTTGTTAAACAATATAATTAAGATTTGGCAAGTATTCCATCAAATTTTCTAGGCCAGCACATAATATGGTTCCCGCTTGGAAAGTGCCTTCTCGTCCCCCAGGTTTTCGATCGCGCGGCCATTTTTTTTCCTCGAGGTTTCTTTCGCGTCCGAGTCACTCGCGACGAACTAAGCGAAAGAGGGTCTATTCATGGTCTAGCCATGCTGTATCAATTTTAACAGTTAACTGTAAATCACAATGAGGAATAGCATTTTCATAACGAGAGAAATTTATTAGAGATTAGAAAAACCAATGGCTTATGTTAAACGAACGAACACCACAGAAATAACCAAAGCGGCAAACATCCTCACCGACGTATCCAATAATTTGAATGTTCGAAACTACACTTCATGTGAACAAAGTTCAAATAACTCGTGACGACACTGCATCCAAGAGAATGTTCCCCGTCACCGGCGTATCCAAGAATGTGACCGCCAATTTCGAAACACTTCATGTGATCGATGCTCAAATAACTCGTGACAATGAAGAGAAGGTTGCATTTAGAGAATATTCGACACTCCCGCTAAATACATGAGTGTTTTGAATTGCCTGTCCCTCTCGGTTGCCCGCAAAAATCTGGTCATACGAAAACCTGTACAGCGGCTGTGAGCAGAAAATGTCCTTAACCCTTGGGATAGATCCATGCCAAAACGCTACACCTCCAACTTATTTGTCCTTTTTCACGGCCTCATCTTCAATATTAATTAGTATCATTGCGTTTGTTGGAAACTCTCTTGTGGTTGTTGCTGTCATCTGGAATCCTTACAAAGACTTGCGGAAACCGTTTTACTACTTCGTAGCGAATCTTAGCATTGCGGACCTTCTCGTTGGACTCATTTTAGGGCCTTTGTCTACGATATGGCACATCCTCGAGGGACTTGAACAGGGGCAGTCTAGAGACTTTACCTCGCTACTACGTGTAGTGCGCTTCATTTTGTGCACCGCGTCACTTCTCAGCCTAACAGCCCTGGCGCTAGAGCGCTATCTCGTCATCATGCACCCACTGAGTTACCAAACCAGGCTCAACCCTGTCAAGGCCTTCTTGGTTTCCGTTGTCGTGTGGATTGGGTCCATTCTCCTTTCGATGATCTACTTCTTTGTGGAGTACAACATACATCGCTTTATCTTTGCGAACACTACTGTAGCTGTTA